AACCATCGTTAACACGTGGTGGTATACGCTGCTTTGCGCGCAACGTCTGCCGCACTTTAAGGCTGCCAAATTATTGCTTCCAAATAAAGTCGCTAGTAACAGGGGAGATCCCAAAAAGTAAACAAAAGTAAAAGCCTAATATCTTGAAAACCAGTGAATATTTTTCCGTGAAATTTGGTAGATATTCGTTTTCGCTCTTTCTGAACCAAGGGACATCACTTTCATGCCAATTCATTAACTTTTTTGAAGGTGGGAGGGTCCCTTTAATGTAGCCCTGTAGCCCATCATTGTTGAGTGGCTTCTTAGTTTTTGCAGTTGTAGTGCTAAGTAAGTTATTCTGATGACTACATTTTAACATTTATTACAAACTAATGATGCTAGAGATTCTCTGATCTTTTTGGTTGCGGAATTTTTATGAAAACCCTCCTATGTGTGACATGATGTGATATTGGATAATTCTCAAGATTCCCAAAATTCAATATCAAGTAGGTTTTCTTTCACATTGCTTAAATTTGGTTTAGTTTTTGTATTTTCCCAGTGGGTTTTGTTTGCATCAGTTTCCAAATTTTCTTAAATTGACATTAGTCACAAAACCCATAGTGCACAGAGCTCTTGGCCCGGCCCGTCCATAGCCCGTTAACTAATGATATTTGGGGGCCCGGCCCAGCCCGTAGCCCAGCCCGGCCCATGGCCCGTTGGGCTGGCCCGGCCCGTGGCGAACACTGCTCAAAACGTCCCCTGTGACGAACAGCTTAAGTGCTTTCTGAGCAGTGCTGGGCGGTGCCAGGCTGCCGCGTTGAAAGACGAACGCTCGGTGATAAAAGTGCCAACTTATTCTCGCTGCTGCGATGAAAGGTGGGGATGGAAATCAACAACAAGTCATCCTGGTTCGCTGCACCGACAAGACACCAGGCATAGTCTGGCTGTCTGGTCGCTTAGAACAGTCTCTGCTAAATGGAATCTTCAACGAGCTACAATGGAAGATTCCTGGGTATAGATCTCGTACTAAGTTGAACATTGTCTCCAGCCTCCATAGTCGCTCGCGCTGCTATTCTGCTCACGTCTTCCAACAAGATTTCTGCATGAGTGCTCTTTTGAAATCCTCCCGAAATGCACACGTCTGTGGCTAACTTCCAGCCATTGTGCGCTAACTTTTGTCATTTACATTGGCTCTGGCAGTTCCGGTTGGGCTGGTTCATGGCTTTAGTGCGTGCTTACAAGCTGTTACCATTCAGACTGCGAAGAAAAGAATCGTGCGATCTACAATATCATCTCTTCTGGGCATCCGAGGAACGATAAAGGTAAGCGTACGGACGGATGAGAATCAAACAAAGGTAGGATTTAGGAAATAGAGGTTAGATATAGACAGGATAAGGTAGCAGTGAGGTGAAATAAGCAATAAAGGGCAAATAAGCGGATAAAAGAAGATGGTTAAAAGAGAATGTTTCGGAAGGTAGTTCATCAAAAACGGGTAGGGAAAGTCAAAGCTAATAAAAAATAAAACATTAACTTAAACAAATGCCGATGAAATGATTCATAGGCAAACTTAAATAAGAAACAAATAAGAGGAAGAAACTGGGTGACGAAATTGTCTTGTGTGAGAAAATAAAAGCATGCAGCGATCAGCCAAAGACGTGAACGCCATGGGAACACTTGCATCGGAACGGGGTGTGCTTATACACTATACAGTTCAATGAATATTTCGGAGGAATAATGCATGTTGATGTCAGTTGCATATTACATGGTTACGCCCTTTGGTAATATCATTCGGTAATATCGGAGTTATGGTTCAATTTGTCCCATGGCTGTCCCATGGCCATTCTGAAGGAAACACTTGAGGTGGCTCTGGGCCCTGGGGACTTGACATTTTATTCTCACATCTTACCCCTTACCTTTTGTCAGCAAATTATCAATATTCCGAGATGTATAATCAATACGCGATAGGGAATAGGTGCTTTGTGAAAAGCCTTGTGCCTGTGCTTGAATATTAGCTACATGTGTTTCGGCGCTAATGCATGGAAGGCAAGACGGATAAACGCAAATCCAAACACCCAAGCATTAAGATCAAGAACAAAAACGCAAAAACGCGATGCAATGATGACGCAGTACAATATTTCACTATCATTGCATGCGCCCAAGTTTTCCCTAAGGGCCTAAAATCAACATTTTTTTACAGCGAGTTGTATGTCATTAGGGATTCAAAATGAACGATATACCACCGTTACCCTGAATATGGTAAGCAGAGGCCAGTTTTACCAACAGTAAAAGCGCCGGCGACGGTTATTTTTGCCTTCCTGAATTTCGCTAGCCACACCGATAAAAATATCGGCATCCGGCGATTTTTTACATTGGTCAAACTACCCTCTGATCTCCGTGTTTAGTGGCCTCATCTCTCTATACCTAGCCAGGAGCCGGCGCCGTCCAGCTCAGGCTAGTAACTCCCCCATCCCCACCAGGAGAGGGGAAGGGGAGATTTGGAGGCGGGCCAGCCGGCGGCGATGCTGGAATGCGACCCCTCTGCCCCCTCCCCTCCCCCACTGCTGGCGCCGCCCACTGGGGGTCTAGTCGCCAGGTCAGAGGGCGTGGGGGGGATGATCTCAGCTGTTCGAAGAGAGAGGAGGGAAAGATGGAGGGGGTGCTATGTAAACAGTGTTTCCTGCGCAATGTCACGGAAAGAGAGTTGCGTGCTTATTTTTTTTATTAAGTGTGCCGAGTGAAATTGAGTTAAGTATGAAATTGAAATTAAAGTGTGCTGAGTGAGACTGCTTTTGCCGGGAAAATCTCTTGCACTTATCACATACATGCTCGTATATCAGAAAACAAGTCAACTCATAAGATACCAAGCGTTACATCTTGCTTAATAAGGATAATTTATTAAGTAACACAAATGCTGATTGCAAGCATCGTTCACTGAGCCAGCAACAATGAGTGACATTTACATAGCACAATGAAGCGCACTGTTTGGATTAAAACATGCCTTTGATATGCGCCGGAAACACCTAGTTGAACAGGATCTCTCAGACCTTAATGACTTATTGAGTGCTGACGGCTAGGTTCCTTTGGAAATGGGAGTTCCTAGGGAGTTTCTAAGCTCCCGTGGTAGTTGATTCAAGTGGAGAACACCAATGGAGAAGGATTGGAGAGCACTTGGTAGGGGAAATACATCACCATGCAATGTTAATGAACTCGTTAGCGCGGTATGGGAGCGTCGATATACAGAGGTCTTAGGTTCGATGTAGCATGTCAGCCGATTTTGCGTTATATGCATCTAATACAGGGCTATCTAGTGTCTACGATATGCATTTTTGTCATGCTAATTCGCTTTCGAGACTTCCCTATATCGATATAAAGAGTTCATCTTCATCAAGTGATATCTAAAAGTATTGACATACAAGTTGCATCGATAAGGACATATCGATATGGATATGTCGATATATCGATGCGGTCTGTCGGCACCTCTTTATCGATATGAAAGGCCAAAGCTGTCGTCAATTGACTTGTCCAAGCAATAATGCCCTCCAGTAATATGGTGATATAAAATAATGTTATTATACCACAATACCGGTATGATCCCAACCGGGATTCCCTGCCACTTGCCAGGCAGACAAAGCAATGGGTCCGAATGGTATGCCAATAACTCATAAAGGACAATAGGAAGAAGGCGATGCCAGTTTGATCCTTACCGTCGCATGGACACTGGGCAGTGAGTTCGTGTAAGACTAAGGGAAAAGCCCTTTCCGGCATGGAATAGAGACGGTGTTGTTACGATGGCTGGATTCGCAATTTAATTTTTGTGGCTGTGGGCATATATTTGGATTTTACCTACAACACCACTATTGTGCGTCATACAAGGCAAGGGATATTAAAAAAATATTTATATTCTTTATCTGAATTTGAAATGGAAATTAAATCATTTCAACGGAGTGATTACTGAGTCTGACTATTCCGTTTCAAATGTCTTATCACCAACCTTATAATTGTGTGGGGTTTCATAGGCAATGGGCATCGGGCAATAGGGAATGGGGACGTAGCAAAATTGGTATTACTGCTCGAATTCAAGATGGAAGCCAATCAACAGCTGTAAAAGTTTGGCTGGCTTGGTGTAGCCTAGTTCATTTTCGAGCACTAGCGTCTAATACAGATCAATTATGCATAGCAATATAAAGCCGTTTAAGTCATTATGTACTTGTACACAAAATTGTTTCACAAACAACGATATGTGTCGTATGCTGGGTGTCATATGCCTAATATACCGTAATTATACCTAATGTTGTAAATGAAGACAGAACCAATACTATTTACACATCATCCTATGATTCACTTGGCACCTTAACTCCGAAGGGACATCTGATCTAGCAGATCACGTGAGCTTTCTCAATCGTCCTGATTCAGACCTGCTATAAACATTGGGTGTGCTGCAGCCAACGGCGTCAGCCCCGGCTGTCAGGGCATTTGGTCCGAGCTCGAGCTGCAGGATTTACGGGAATACCCGAGAGGTCAAACCTGGCCGGGCTTGTGGTCTGATATGGAGCTGTGGGATTTTCCTACAAATAGCTTAGATGTTACCACTTACCGTACATGACGTTTGATACCCTTTTAACCTTCAGATATTATTATCGCTCATTATATGCCCACACAGGCGTAAAATCTAATCCAAGGGTACAGGAAGGCACGGGAGGTTTTTACGCGACAGTTTTTCTGTACTCACCCATGGAGGCTGCCTTCATCACGATTCACATTTAGTCGCTAAAAGCTAGTCGCTACCTCGCGTGAAAACATATTTGGAAGCATTACATTGCGTAGTAAATTGTGGATGTAACCACAAATCGTTAAAAATTCAAGCTTTCCGTACCAGGCACTTCCAAACACCGATCTCATATCAATTATAACGAGGTCTAATCAACTTTATGTGTGTTATCAAGTGACATAGATAACAAAAAAAAAAACTCCGATCGGTAAGATTTGAACCCGCGTCTCTGTAAGACTGTCACCCCTCTCACCTGGTCGACAATCATGTCCTTCTCGTGGTGCTCCTGCAGAATGGCCTCTTCCACCTGCAGCTCCATCTTGGACTTGGGCTTGACGAACGTGGTGGCCGGTAGGTAGCTGGTTGGAGACTGCACCGTCTGTTGTGACATGGACAATGAACATTTGTCGGATGCATGCATTGGAACTTTTTTTTGGGCATGTATTGGATGATAAAACTTGCATTGGAACTTCTTTGTTGGAAAATGGATACATCGCTAAAATAATCAGACAGAGCATTATAACTGTGGCTGATTGGACTATGGAATTATACCTACTTCTTCATCTTCATTTTAGTTCTTCATTCTTCATCTGTTACTTTTACTGTGCTATATGCAATCACTGTCTTTCGTGGTGGTCATCGAACTTAATGAATACAGATAATCTTCATCTAAACATTCCGTGTAACTAAATTGCCATAGTATATATGTAGAAGCGCGAAAGACTATCATGACTTTACTTGAAAGATGTTTTCATTACCTTAGTTACTTAGTACTTACCTTTATCATGCTCTCATCATCATAGTTACCTCACTAATAGCATCACAGAGCGCCTGTGACCAGCCTACAACAAAACATCATCCCACCTCCAGTTTTTGACACTCATGGCGCCCCGTTGACATTCACACCACACCTGATTCTGCTGCGTCTCGGGCGGCGCAGAGCTCGCCCTAGCCTCTGCCAGGGCCGCCCTAGCCTCTGCGGCAGCCTCAGCGGCCGCATGATGTCTCTGATCGGCACTTTGGTGGATCAGAGCTCCCAGCGAGAGAGTTGGCTTCTGATCGGCCTGGGGTTGGTGGTGGTAGTAACAGCAGCGGCAGCAGCAGCGGCAGCAGCAGCAGCAGCAGCGGCAGCAGCAGCAGCAGCGGTAGTAGAAACAGCGCCAACATGAAGTGCATATGTTGCAGAAGTTGCAGAAGTTGCAGGAGCAGCGTTAGAAGAGCAGCAAAGAGCAGTGCAGTTAATTGTTAGCAGAGCGGGAGCAGCCGCATCAGGGGAGGTAGGAGGGGGGGGGGGGGGTGAGAAAACAAGAGAAGAGTTGAAGGAGAATTTGGGAGATATTTGCGATGAGCCTGATAAGGTAAGAGGCAAGGACGCGAATAAAAAAAATACGTCAAGATTGGATGGTGACATTATAAGCCTTCGCTTGAAAAATAAGAGAATGCTGAGTTGCGATTTTTCTCACACTCGATCCCAGGAACGTATGTGATAAGTACGGATAAGAAATGTGACACAATGTTAAATGCAAGATTGAAAAGGAGACAATGCCAAACGATGCATCGGAAAGGGGGATAGAGGAGAATGAAGACGAGAACGGAGAGAGGGAGAAAGAAGAAAGAGGAGATAAAAAGGCTGAGGAAAGAGAGAGAGAGAGAGAGGTAGACACAGCAATAAGACAGATCTTGTTAGCAAACAATTAAAACATTTTAGCAATACGAAGAAAAAAATAATTAAACACGCTATGACATTCATGAAAGTGTGAACACTGCCAATTGATGGTAATTGTTATTTATGTTTGTGCTCATTGCGTTTAAAAACCTCTTGATGGTTTTTGTTTGATTAACTAATATGCATGCAATACAGCTATGTGCAGAGAATATACCAAGAGAAGCGCCAGTGCCAAGTTTTCGACTATAGATGGTGAATATGGTCACATCTCAGCTACATACGGAAAAGCTTATGAATCTACGGTAACTGGTAAGCTATGGCCGGACATTAATGTTCATTTACGGATAATGCACCAATCTTTTTGCAAGCTATAGGGTATTGCAGTTTCGATCAGTAGTTTTTTTGTGGGCTGCAGCTAAGTTAAAGACATCCTAAGCACTGCTGATATTTTACAGTGCTTCGATTTTCTTAAGATGCGTTGAAATGTATTGACTTTAGGTATGCCTACTGAAATGTATTGACTTTAGATATACCTACCTACTGAAAGATACTTTTTTGAATTTATTTGAATGCATTTGTAATAATTTGTTTATCGTTTACATCATCATCCAACCTGTCATGGATACTCAACAATACCTACTGAATTAAAATTGAATGGGACAACAGTGAATTATGAAAAAGGTATGCTTAAAAGGCTTAGTGTGAACAACATGTGATAGATGATTATCACATTAACAATCAACATGTATGTATGTGCATTTTATGGCTTTGCAATGCACTTAGATGTGCATTTTAATTTAACTACAGCTACCATTCAACATAGGGCATTGGCAACCGATGATATATTCATATCAACAAATTAAACAACAAAATGCATTACAATACTGCAAAAGCGCGCGAGCGAAGAGAAGAGAAACATGCGAAAGTACGCATATCAAAGTCAAAAAACGATTTCAGGAGATGCGAAAAATATCGCAAAAAATATAGAATCAATGAGAGCATTTAGAACGTTTTATTTACAGATCAAACCGATTAACACAATGCATTGTGAGCCCAACTTACTTGAAAATTCTTAAATGACTGAGGCACGAGATACTGAAGCCGTCGCTAAAACATAATAGCAAGTGGCAGTTGCGTCAAAGTATTGAACTTTGGCTGGATATTGCATATGCGTGATCTCATAGCACTATGGTATAATTGGTAGATGCTTCAGGGCGACAAAAGCCGTTTGTCAGTTTTCACTTCCATTGCAACCTAGGCAACAGTGTCTTCTACTTAAATGCGTAAAACCGTTTATCGACAAGTTCGTATTAAGTATTTGGGATGGCTTCGACAGTGTCATGCACTCCTAAGAGCTTGACTATCATCTAAGTTACACAGTAAGCGTAACAAAACAAGCCGAACAAAACTGGTTTTATCCAGTTTTCGAACAGGGTCACATGTCGTCATGTATGACGTCACAAGCACCCAACTGTGCTCTAAAAGCCAACATCACTTCTACACTAAAAGCCAGCACAATCTTTCAACAGGTAGCGTGCGCAATAGGGGGGGGGGGGGGTCGCCAGGTCACGTGTCAGAAACTTACGTCGGAAAATTTTCGGGCAGGTGGTTTCCCGACTTGGTTAGGTTTCGGCTGGGCGGAGTGACCTTTTCCGAAAGGACCGTCTACCATCGTAGTCCGGGGAGTGCCAGGAGTTCCCGGGGTGCCCGGAGTGCCATTAGACACACCTCTGAAACACAGAAACAACGATATGCTTGTGTCAACGAGATGTTGAGGACTGGGGTTACGGGGTAGGCACTGATGAGAATCACAGACAATGACACTTTGGAGCTAACTATAGTCTAGCACGCAGGAACCGTAGATATTCGGCATGCGTATGCATACCCCAAGATGCGTATGCATACCCCAGGAATGCATTTTTTTAATACATATCCATGTCTTAAAAGTTTGATCATTGAGCTGCACAGTTTAAGTTATCAGTTTTAAAAGCCATGCCCAATTATGTTGAGTTAAGTTTGAAAATTTATTTGGACTAGGAGCTTCCAGCCAATAAAAGGCTTGACGAGTTCATAAAAGGCATTATTCTTGACGCAATAAAGTGCTGCGTGCTGCCATCACAAAGCTTGGACGCGTTATTCACCACCAATTTTCGATTCCCGACGGTGATATCTGCTACCGATAGCGCTCGATCGTTGTTATCAAACCTATTCTAGTTTACAAATCCCGTCTGATTTAGCCTTGTCACATCACTGAAGTCTCGTTCATCGATCTTTTGCTGGCGGGGCCGGGTTTGTGGGTCACTGGCAACTGGCAAGTGACATCCAATCCCCCTGTCGGCGACTCCCCCCCCCCCCCTCGCAGCTGCCGTGACCTCATTGCTCGCCCCCCCCCCCCCCTAGAGGTGATGACCGGGTCACCCTGTCCGAAAGTTGGCTGCAGTTTGACCCTCGCTCTGCCCATCGCCCCAGGGCACAGCTGGTCACCTGTCTTGGCACTGTTTCGCGATTCCAATGTCAGGATCAATAGTGGGCACGCTGGCTCAATGCCAGCGATTAGCCTGACACCTCGCGGCAGACGGCAGAGATACTGGTTCAGCAGTTTTCGCTAGATGCCCTACGAGCTGTGATTTTGGGCAGCTTTCTGCAGTGTTCTTGATTCCAGTAGCGGCGAAACACCTTCAATTAAAGGCATAGGCGGCGGAACGGGGAGGCACCGGGGCACCGTGCCCCCTTTGATTTTGACATTTTAACATTAGCCCTATGGGCGTTGCATGGAAAGAATGGGACCAAAAGTCAGCAGTGCCCCCCTTAACTGAAGGTGTTCCGCCGCTACTGATTAAAGGGGCGGGGGGGCACTGCCGACTTTTGGTCCCATTCTTTCCATGCAGCGCCCATAGGGCTAATGTTAAAATGCCAAAATCAAAGGGGGTACAGTGCCCCGGTGCCCTCCCCATTCCGCCGAAATGCTGGTCTGGTCAGTGGTCAGCAAGAAGAGATGCAAATATTGTTTATAGCTCTCACGTTAAACACCAGTAAAACGCCTTTTGGGCGAAGAACGAGCGAGCGAGATAGTGAGCCCTGCACGTGCGCAAGGGCGAGAGGGTACTTCCAACGGGATTGTGCAAAGCACCCTTATAACCGGTCGCTAGCGGTGTGCCAAATTTGAACGCAATCGGCCCAGCCGTTCCTGAGATCTGGAAGCGGCATTCTGCACGTGCGCACGTGCAAACGGGGTCCAAAGTCCAAACTGACTTTTGCACGGCACCCTACTAACTGGTCCCCAACCGTGTACCGAATTTGAGCGCAATCGGCCCAGCCGTTCTCGAGATCTGGGAGCGCCCCCTGCACGTGCGCACGTGCAGTAGCACCATAACCGCAACACATGGGAATGCATTGCCTGGTGGGTGCCTACCTGTATGCCAAGTTTCAGCGAAATCGCCCCAGTAATTACCGAGTTATTGAAATGGGAACAAATTTGGCACCTCTTATTGTTATATTTTGCACGTGCACTGGGGGTCACTCACATAGATCAAGAGTATCCGACCTTTGGTAGAAAGGATGCAGCTACTCTACAAAAATTACCGCAAGACAATCGCCCAAGCGGCTGCTGAGATATGGGCCTCTCAAAATCACTACTTTTGCAAAACAGCTTGAACACCCTTGACTTTTCACGTGGCACGTGCCACGACGGTCACTGAGATGTATCAAAAGTAGTCAATTACGGGGTAGAAGGGATGGGGCTACCCAGCAAAAAAGACCGCAGGCCAATCGGTCCAGCGGTTGCTGAGATATAAGCCTCTCAAAAGCGTTACAGGCCGGGCCGGGCCGGGCCGCTCATACTGAGATTTTTCCGTTATATTGAAAAGACTCGCTTCGCTCGCTGCGCTCGCTCTTTCGTAATAAGGTGTAGGCTAGGGCGAACATAAGGTGTAATAATGGAGGCCAAACACCTACCCACTAACAATCCAAGTGAATTAAAGCTGAGAATTATCATGATAAGGTATATGCTATCACTGTTATGCTGTCGGTTAGGTATACCTACCGGCTGCCGACAATCGACACTGCTGTGCATTGTGCACTGTGCGGCACATTAACTTATATTATAGCAAGACTTTTCATTTATCAACTACAAGGGGCATGATTTTCTGGTACGCCTTGAATGACTGAGGTTCGGTTATCGTACGAACACTAATGAATATTTCGAATAATTTTACTGGCACCGGAAGTTCCAGTTGAATACGCTCAAAGGCCCTTACTCTATGTAGTTTAGAACCTGATCTCCCGACAATCACCAAGTCATTTCAAAGTTCTGGGCAGCTAGACTGTCAGTGCCCTTGAACCCATTTAAACTCGGGACTCAGCAATCAGCATGTCTGACGTCCAAGACTTTAATTAAAA